TTTTTTTACCCTTTACTATATAGTAAATCTACTTAAAATCCGTTGGTCAAAACCACTACGGCAAGCGACGCGGCCACACGCGCAACTTTGCGAAAGTTCCGCCGAGCCTAAAGCCCGAACAATATCAAGTTCTCCTCGACCAAAACCGACCCAAAGCCCCAACAGCACCAAACCACCCAATACCACCCATTGGGCGCACAAACAAACGGCAAAATGGTCCGCAGATTCTCCAAGTTCCCCAAGAAGCCCGCAGACTGGGTGCCCCCGTCGGCGCCGCTGTCCATGCGGAAACAGGTCTTCCTGTAAGTTGCAGCCAGTACACACAGATACCGCTTCAACCCGAAGAGAAAGAGAGAGAGAGAGAGAGAGAGAGAGAATCCACAATAAGAAGCAATGCGTTTCTAATCCTGATTGTACCCAGTCCCGACTTCACAATCGCTCTCATCCGCACACCGTTTCTCCCCCCGCGATACGCTTCCTTCTATGTTCCGCTGAACTTTAACAAATTGGATATGCGCGACTACCTGAAACACCTGTATGGGGTTGATGTGCTCTCTGTGAGGAGTTATGTTGAGCAGCAGAAGGTCACTCGTCTTCGTCCTTTGGGTAAATTCGGGTACGGGAAGTTGAGGAGACCTATGTCGAAGAAGAAGATGACGGTGGAGATGAAGACTCCGTTTGTTTGGCCTGAGGCGCCGGCTGATATGACTCCGTATGTTTTCTTTTTCTTGCCCCCCCTTCTTTTCTTTTGGTTTTTGTTTGGGTTTGTTTACGTGCCGAACTGGGTGATGTGGGCTAACGAGGGGACTGTGTCAATTATAGATGGGAGTACGAGCAGTTCCACAAGGCGGCTAAATACCAGAACGATATCCAAGATAAGCAACGACCGGATGCGGGTATGAAGGCAAACACGGATGAGCATGATGCTTACGCCGAGGAAGCGAAGAAGCTGCTGGACGGCTCGAAACCCTGGAGACCTACTTGGCAGGCTTTAGGACTTAGCTATGATCGGACGGGACTTGGCAAGAGCTCGACTAGCTCATGAATGGTTTCCGGATCGTGATTGTTTCTTTCTTCCTTGTGTTTCTTTCTTGTTAGGCCTGGAAGGCCGGGTATAGAAAAGCGGCTTTACTCTTCACGCTTTGGTGATCTGGTCTGTGTTTGGGGGACCTTTTCTTTTTTTTTTATCATGTGGTGACTATTGCAATACTCTGTATTATATGCTGTCTCAATGTATTCAAAGTAACTGTCATAGCATGTTCTCTTGTAGTAATCAAGGAGGGGAGAGGAAAAGGAAGAATATACTGAAGGGAAAGAATCGCAGCGGCAAAGCAGAAAGATTATCGACAGGGTGCACACGACAGGCTATGCTATATATAGCAGACACCAGGTTATATTAACGAGACAACACGCTATGCAAACGTCACATGAGTAGAGTTACGCTAAAAGAAACTAAACGCAAAATACAAAACAAGGCAAGCATAGGAATGGCCGATCTGCTTTGAAAAAATTAAAGTCGGCTCTCGACGAAGTTCTCATGATGCTGACCAGGCCAGTGTGCATCAGGCCACACTTGTCGAATGGCTTCCCAAATATGGCTGGAACAATTGTCAGTACGCAGCAAGAAGAATGTAGTATAGATGAACCTTACCTGACATAGATGATCTCGAGACCATCGCTGACCTCTTGAGGAACGTCCTTGACATCCTTGCGGTTCTGATACGGTAAGAGAACGGTCTTGACACCAGCACGGAGTGCCCCAATGAGCTTCTCCTTGATACCCCCAACAGGCATCACTCTTCCACGAAGAGATACCTCTCCGGTCATTGCAAGCTTGGGGGGGACAGCTTTGTTCGAGAACAGTGAGATCAGTCCAATAGTATGCGCAAGTCCAGCGGAGGGGCCGTCCTTGGGAATGGCTCCGGAAGGACAATGAACATGCAAACTCCGGCTCTTCATAATATCTTCGCTGAGATCCGGAGTCAGTCCCAGCTCGTAAGAATGAGCTTTGACCCATGTCAGGGCCACCTCAACACTTTCTTTCAAGACGTCACCGAGCTTTCCGGTAAGTTGCACACGGCCATTTCCTGGCATGTCTGCAACTTCGATGAACAGGATGCTACCCTGCCCTCCTGTAGAGTACGCGACAAGACCGGTAACAACTCCCGGACGACCATGCTTCTCAGTGATCTCTTCTTCGAATCGCTCAATACCAAGGATTTCCTCCAGGTCATCCATTGTAACAACAGGATTATAAGTTTCGGGATGGCCTGCATCTCCCGCATCGGCATACTGGACCGCTTTATAACGGCAGATTGAGCCGAGCTCGCGCTCTAGGTTACGCACACCAGATTCCCGGGTGTATGAAGTAATTGTTTTGTCAATAACCTCATCGGAAAGAATGACTTGACCCTCTGTGAGCCCATTGACTTCAACCTGCTTTGGAAGCAAGTGCCTCTTTGCAATGTGTCGTTTCTCGACGGTCGTGTATCCAGACAACGAGATCGTCTCCATGCGATCAAGCAAAGGTGGAGGAATAGTATCAAGCGAGTTAGCAGTAGCAATGAAAAGGACCTTGCTCAAGTCAATTGGGATATTGATGTAGTGGTCAGTGAATGTATGGTTTTGTTCAGGGTCTAAAACCTCGAGCATAGCCGCGGAAGGATCACCCTGGAAATTGGCGCCGCCGACCTTATCAATCTCATCGAGCAAGAAGACTGGGTTTGCGACGCCAACTTTCTTGAGGCCATTGACAATTAGGCCTGGCATTGCAGCGACGTATGTCCTTCGGTGACCCCTAATCTCCGCCTCGTCTCTAACGCCACCGAGAGAAATACGGTGAAATTTACGTCCAAGGGAAGTGGCCACAGACCTCGCTAGACTAGTCTTGCCAGTGCCAGGAGGTCCAGCAAGCAGCAGAATCGGAGACTTGTCAGTCATGCGCTTCGACTTCAGAAGATGAAGTTTAGATTCGACAGCAACACGATCTGCCTCAGACAGGCCTGGGAGATCCTTCTCGATATCACCTGCATCGGAAGAAGAATCAAGGTCCTTAGAGAGGGCGGCAATTTGCTGTTCGACGTTCTGGTTGGTGGACTGCTTCAATCTGAGGACGGCCAAATACTCAAGAAGCCGCTTCTTGATCTTTTCTAGGCCGTAGTGGTCGTCATCGAGTTGTTGCCTGGCTCTTTTTAAAGTGTCGGGACCGAGTTGGTCTTCGGTGACCTTGGTCCATGGGATCTCCAAGATGTTCTCAAGATACGTCCGGCAAACACCGTATTCGGCATTGGCCGGGTTCATCTTCCGAAGGCGACGCAACTCCTTATCGGCAACCTTTCTAGCCTCGAGACTAAGCTGGGCCTCTTGTAGCTTTTGTTGGAGTTCATCAACCTCGTTTGCCTCCTTGTCATCGCCGTCATTGTTTCTTCCGCCTGCGACGCCTGGGGGTGTCAGCCCGGTCAGACCAGCCATGGCCCGCCTCGCAAGGAGTTCACGGTCACGAGGATCGATCTGGTTGATGTCAAATCCAGACGGAGGGAAGCTATTCGTGGTGATGGTAGTGACTTTTACATTGCTCTTGATACTTTGAACTTGTCTGCTGAGCATTTCAACCACTCTTTCAAGTCTGGCTTTATGATCCAGCGAAGCTAAGACGCGAAGCTTGTCTTCGATTCCGGATTCGGCGATATCAGCCATAAAATCGGCCAACCTTCCGGCCTGTGCCAAATCTGTTCTAGATATGAACAGCTCGAATTTGCGGGCAATGAGTGGCGACAAGCGTGTTGAAGAAGAAGGCAACAGCGATGAAAGTCGTAATAGGGTCAGTAGCTCCCGGGATAGTCGCCTCAACTGTTGGAATAACTCGACAGTTTCCGAATCATTAGACACGTAGTCTGTCCAAAAGGAAAGGAACCCATCAGTTTCGGTTGCACTACAGGTCAAGGACGGCTTATAGACTAACCTTTCTCGTCATGTAAAATGGCTTCTGCTTCAAAGTAAGGTCTTTCTTTCAAGATACGTTTTACTGTGAATCGCTGAATTCCTTGAACCACAAGGGACGCTTCTGAGTAGGCACGGCGTTGGACGCCAACAACTTTGCCGATTGTGCCATAACGGAAAAGATCTTCTTTCCTTGCCTGGCCTGCATCAATGGCATCAAACTCTTCTCTCCTATCTTCATCCAGACTTCCATTGTCAATCAACTGCTGACCATCCTTACTTAAGAAAGGCGAGTTAAGGGGAACGCAACCAAACGTGATCACGTTCCCCTCTCGCTTTACGGCTGATGACCGGTCAACCAGTGACGAAAGAAGATTGGAGAGATCAGGTCGATTAGCAACAGGGATCCGTAGGGTGGCTCCGGGGAGGAGAACAGAGCCTTTGGGGAGCGGTACGAGAGCAAGCTTGGTAGTTCTTCCGTTGTTGGAGCCCATCGCGATCTGTTCGATCGGAAAGACACCTTACACGTCTGGGATGAAAAGGGAGAAGAGCAAAGAAGAAAAGAATTAAAGCAACTTTAATGTATGAGTTACGGAATATTGTGATGATAAAGGATGGGGGAGACGAAAGGAGCGGTCTCCTTGGGGAGTACAAGAAGGTTGTCGGTTATAAGGTAGTGGAGGCGACGGTTCCAGAACCCCATCGATGAAGTCCGTGACTCTGGGGAGATGATCGCCAGTGATAAGCCGTCTTCCGATGCCGAGGTTCGTGTGGCTACAAATCCGTCTGTCACAAATCCGGGGAAAAATGGCTGAAGGAATACTAATGCCTGCGTTTCAACAATAAGTAAATCTTCCCCGAGTAAGGAGATAAGAAGAGTTCCAATAATTCACAAGCAACGGTCGTATCAAAAGACTTTCACCTCCAGCTCGTTTGTGTTGTATCTTCCGTCTTCTTATCTTTGTCCGTTTTCCGGTGATCTCGTGATCTCCTTACAGATTCATCGGACTTTATTCGGATTACCGATTACAATACAGACATTACAGTACTACTACCGCTTTCGTTCTTCCATTTCTGGCTCCATCCAACCTTAGTTTTTCTGCAGCTTCCAGCCTGAAGTATCACGATCACAACTCTATCCATTTGTATATTGCTCTGTCATCTTAACCGACTCTCCTCGGGGCAATAACCATTACGGGCGGTATCGCTGATTACTCTTGAAAGGATCTATTACAGTACTCTCTCACTCAAGTGTCGCTATGGCCTCTACGTCGAACCCCGCCTCTGGCGCCGCCGACCCCTCATCGCGGAAAACATTCACCGTTGGAACGCGCAAGTCTAAGCTTGCCCTTTCGCAAACTGATCTTGTAGTCTCGGCACTTAAAGAGGTTTACCCTGACTATGAATTCAAAATTCATTCGCAGGAAACTGCTGGCGATTTGAACACAACCATTGCTTTCCGAGAATTTACGACGAAGAACTTATGGACGGAGGAGTTAGAGGAACACTTAATGGCCGGCAATGTGGACTTCATTGTTCACTCATTGAAAGGTTTGCCATCCGCGTATGCTAACAGTAATACGGCAGTGGACGCTGATAAAGTGATTGTCCTCAGATGTACCAACTACCCTACCCCCCGCGTGTACGCTGGGCCCTATGATGGCGCGTGAAGATTCCAGGGATGTACTGGTCATCAAGAAAGGGCTACCGAACATGTCCTTATCCGATATGCCTGCAGGATCCGTCGTTGGCACCTCTTCCATCCGCCGTACTGCTCAATTGGCCTTGAAATACCCTCACCTAAAGGTTATTGATGTGCGTGGTAATATCGGTACACGACTCGCCAAACTAGACGCAGAAGATTCACCTTATACTTGCATTATCCTCGCAGCTGCCGGTTTACTGAGACTAGGTCTCGATGATCGCATCTCGCAGTACCTGGACTCCAAAAACGGTGGGATGCTTTATGCAGTCGGCCAGGGTGCGTTGGGCATTGAAATCCGAAAGGATGATCAGGTGATGCGTGATATGTTGAACAATATCGGTCATAAGGAGACGACATTTGCCAGCACCGCGGAGCGGAGCCTGCTACGAACCCTTGAAGGCGGCTGCAGTGCACCACTTGGAGTTGAAACCGAATGGATTAAATCCTCCGATGGTTCGAAGAAACTCCGAATGAGATCCATTGTTGTCAGCGTGGATGGTAAGGAAAGCGCTGAGGTCGAAGTCGATGGAAGTGTCGACTCCGTTCAAGCTGCCGAAGATTTTGGCGTGACTGTTGCCAAGGAATTAGTAGCCAAGGGAGCAGGGAAGATCCTCGAGGATATCCAGCGAAGTAAGCAGGCTGCTTAAATCATGATAATGTATAGATAGATATCCTGTGGCTTGGGGGGCTGGTCTTCTCCCGTGGTTCAGAAATTGTATCTAGACGGACAACTGTACATAGCTGAAAAAAATCTCAGACGTGCTTGGAAAGTAACACTACGTAGAAGCCTGTCACCCTCCTGTAAATGCATATTTTGTCACTACGCTCGAGTCATGAAGTGATAATGGCAAACAGCGAAAGAATCCCAAGGGTATAGATGAAAAAAAGCGTATAACAAGCGTCGCAAGATAGGGTAATTAGGACCTCAACAATATGTTATGAAAGTAATTTTTATATGTACCAGAGGATCCAATCAGTATTAACCTCTATTCAAGGTGTTTCCAGAGCCTCGTGGGTTGGCTTCAGTGAATTCATCCCAAGCTCTAGCTTTCATAGTTTCTTCATCAGCCCTATCCATATCATCCTCATCAACTTCCTCTTGTACACCAGACTTCTCTCCACCTTCGATAATGCCGCCTCTTCTCTTCTCTTCCTCGAGATATTCGTCGATGGTCATAGTAGGTAAATTGTGACCAGATCGGAAAACGCCTTGCTGGAGCTGTGTCCGCCGATCAAGTAGTGTAAATGGCTGCAATGGTTTCCCGTCCTTACTCAATATCGGTCCAAACTTTCCTCCTTGTAGAAGCTGGGAAAGGGGAGGATCCAGCCGTTCTGAGTATTCCGACTGTTGAGCGTCCTTCCGGCGCCTAGGATCTTCTGGAGAGATTTGATCATGGGCTGGTGCCGAGTTGCGAATGGCCGATAGCATAGACATCTCTTGTGAAAGAAGGTCCAAGGATTGAAACGTCTGGTGAGTATACAGTTTGATCTCCGCAATATAGAGCTGTCGAACATCTTCTTCGTCGGTCTGGAGCTGGCTTTGATTATCGGAGAGGTACTTCAGATACGTCAGCAAGATTGCCAATCCTCGGAGTAGAGTCTATTCAACCTGAAGTCTTTGCTTGAGCTCCTTTTCCTCTCTAAACCTATTTATTTTCACTTCTCTCCGGGCAGCAGCATCGTTGACTGGTGTCAGCGAAAAGGACACTGGGTTCGCAGTATACCGTTCATAAAGTTTCTTGTCTTTATCGTTGAATAATTCGTAATCATCCAAGCGTGTGAGGTATCTTTCATATTGCTCAAGTGCACGTCGAAGGCTAGACACGCGGTCTGAGCTGTACGATCTCTGTAGGAGCTCTGCAAGATGGTATGACACCGTGAGATACCTAGTGCGAACCGGAAGACATTAGCCTGGGTCGGGATAAAGAAACAATAAGGTGGTAATGTTACGGTAAATCCCCAGTTGCGATATCTTCCAACGGCTCGTTCGAGCTGAATAACGACAGGACTGCAACAAGCCGAGCGCATTCCTCGAGCTTGGCTATTGTGGCATTGACATCGTTGCGATATTGATCTGTGTTAGTGTCGAAGCGACTTTCCAATGCTGACTTCTCTGATTTTGCAGTAGCAAACAGAGCGCGAAGGTTCTGGGGTTGTTCCATAGTAGTGGTTCAGGATAGTATATTTGTAAAGATCAAAGCTGCATGAATCAGAGCTCCGCGGAGAGGGGTAAAATTATAGAAATATTTAAGGTCAATTATGGGTCCGCTCCGCGCCATCGGAACCTCAGGCCCCACAAATTTAAATACACTTAATGTTGATGATTGTATCGGCATTATTAGTACCTCACTGAAATATAAAGTCAATTCAACAATCTACTGTAGAGACTTATCTACCATATGACCCTATTTATTATTATTGAAGAAGTTATAAATAACAAAGAAACTTCTACAAGTTATCTGAGTCTGATTAAAATGAAACATTACCAATAGATATTCTATGTTACATAAATGCATATCATGCTGTTTACTGGACAGTTACGCAGTGTAACATGATAGCACCCATCCATACCTCTTGACCTACTATGTACCTATTTCTTTCACTTCAGGGTGTGGTGAGAGCCCATTCACTTCTTCAAGGGACATTTTCTTTCACAGCGTCATACCACTTATTTTCCTCTTCCTTCCATTACTACTAAGTACCGATCCATAAAATCCAATGAACCTGTCCATCTCGATCTCCTTGTCTGATTTTTGAGAGACCCAAACAAAGCCAAAATGCCATCGCCAGAAGCACAGCCTCTGGCCGCCTATGTTAGTAGTCAAAGCCGCACTATTACGCCCTCTCTGGATTTGTATGAGGAAAAGACTATTTCTACTACTGAACCAGCTGAGGGAAATGACAGCTCCTCAGAAGAGTCAGGAGATAACGAACAAATATCCACTCAGAAGCTCATCTCTCAAAACAAAAGACTCCAAAATGCCAAGTTTGAAGCTCTGTACGATCTCCGGCCAAGAATTCTTTGCCATCCATAGCTGACCTTATATCTAGGCTTTCTGAACGAGCTGATACAATCACCAGCAAAAGGGCCAGGCCCACACTTGACTTGCCTGACGCTGATCTGTCTACAGCGAGCCTGGTAGCTAGACAAGATACCAGAACTGGGATGCTTGACCCGAGAGAATATCAGGTAGAGCTCTTTGAAAGGGCAAAGTCACAGAACACCATTGCAGTCCTCGATACCGGTACATGCATTCAGGCCCAACTTGATAATTGTCTTCCCTTATTTCTTACTCAATTGTACTATAGGATCTGGAAAGACCTTGATAGCCGTGCTTCTGCTAAAGCATATCATCCAAAATGAGTTGATCGATCGCGCTAACGGAAAGCCACCTCGCATCTCTTTTTTCCTTGTGCGTATACATGCTTTGACTCTTTTGGAGGCGCTAATTTGCAAGTAGGTGGACAGCGTGACACTTGCTTTTCAACAGGCTGCCGTCTTGCGCAACAACCTGGATCAGAATGTCGCACAATTTTTTGGCGCCATGGGTACTGATCTTTGGAACAAGCAGATCTGGGACCATCATTTTGAGAGCAATATGGTGATAGTTTGTACCGCAGAGATATTGAATCAATGTTTACTCAACTCACATGTTAGAATGGATCAAATTAACCTACTCATCTTTGATGAAGCTCATCACACAAAGAAAGACCATCCTTACGCACGGTATGTATTTGGCAAACCTGAGAAAAGAGAAAAGGACAACATAGGCTGATTGTGATGCTCTTATTATCACAGGATTATTAGAGAATCATATCTCAAATCAGACCCGACAAAGCGCCCAAGAATCTTTGGAATGACAGCGTCGCCTATTGACACTAAGGGGGATATCATAGAATCAGCAACGTATGTCCTACTGTATATACAACAGCGCCCTTAACTTACATCTTATAGGAAGCTGGAGGCTCTTCTAGACAGCAAGATTGCCACAACATCAAAACTTAATCTATTGAGAGAAGTCGTCAGACGTCCGGTAGAAGAATCTTGGGAATATGATAAGCTCGATCCACCGTTTGCGACCAAGCTATATCAGACCTTGGAAGCCCGCTTTGGTGACATTAGCTCTTTGCAACCTGTATTCAGATTTACGTTACAGGCTAGTTCTGAACTGGGACCATGTTGCGCAGATCGTGCATGGGCGCACGCCCTAGCAGACGATGTGTTGCCAAAGCTTGAGGGAAATGTGAGAAAGCTCGCCCAATCTATCTCATCGCTGATCCCCGTGTGTGCTCTCAGAGAAATATCAAGGATCCAGGAAGCTAGTGACATTGTCAAGAATCATTCGTTCAATAACCCCAACTTTCCAGGTGAACTGAGCCCTAAAGTACAACTCCTACGCCAAAAGCTTATCAAATACTTTGAGCATCCAACGGGGACAAAATGTATCATCTTTACGCAGAAGCGTTATACTGCTAAGATGTTATTCGACCTTTTCTCAACTTTAGAGATACCTTACCTAAGGCCTGGGGTGCTGATTGGTGTTCGATCTGGCGATATCGTAGGAATGAACGTGTCGTTTCGCCAACAGTTTCTCGCTTTGGTGAAATTCAGGAGTGGAGAGATTAACTGTTTGGTAAGTAACACTAGTCCTCGGCACCTGGTCACAGGTCTAACAAGCAGAAGTTTGCTACTTCAGTAGCCGAGGAAGGACTCGATATTCCTGACTGTAATCTTGTAGTTAGGTAGGTTTCACCGCATTGCTAGTTCGCTTATGCTAACAGGTTAGGTTCGACCTATACAATACCCTTATACAGTATGTGCAAAGTCGTGGCCGTGCTCGACATTCAAGTTCGACGGTACGAAAAGACCCTAATTACTATCGAGTGACCAAAATCTCTGATAGACATACATATAGTATGCAAGTATGATTGAAAGGTACAATGCTGATCATGAGGCACGACTAGTCGAGGTTCGGGAGGCCGAAGTAAGTGTACAAAATTGATGTACCGCAGCCCGCTGATATTTCTAACCCAATATTAGAAACTTATGCAGAGTTTCAGTGAAACACTTCCAGAAGACCGAATACTTCACGGTATTAACAGCGAGATAGACTCAATCCTCCAAGGCGAAGAAGTGAAGCGAACATTTATAATCAGGGCTACAGGCGCGAAGCTGACTTACCACTCTGCCCTTGCTATCCTCGCACGCTATGCTAGCTCTCTGGTAAGCACCATCATCCCGTGCTGACACGAAGAGGTTTTAATTAAGATAACTATGTTATCTAGCAATACGAAAAAGAGGTATCAGCTCAGGCTACGTATGTGGTGCTTCCACAGAATAACAGTTTCGTTTGTGAAGTCATATTGCCAGAAAAGTCACCTGTTCGAGGGCTCACTGGAGCCCCTGCATCAAGGAAATCCACTGCAAAACAGTCCGCAGCCTTTGATACTTGTGTCTTGCTCCGGAAGCACAAACTGCTCGATGATCACTTTAACTCAGTTTATCATAAGCGCTTGCCTGCCATGAGAAATGCGAGGCTTGCCATTACCTCTTCGCGTACAAACCAATATGGCATGCTATCGAAACCTTCATTTTGGAAAAAACAACAGGGTATCCTTCCAGAAAGGCTATATGCAACTGTCATATCATTCGTACCATCAGAACCACTAAAACGCCGGCACAGAAGTATAATCTTGTTCACTCGTGAGAGATTACCTAATTTTCCATCATTGACTATCTTCCTGGACGATGATATCGAGACCATAGTCGTTCCTGAATCCTTGGAGGAAGTCCTGCGTATATCCCCTCAGGAACTGGAATACTTATCGACTTTCACATTTCGTATTTTCCACGATGTGTTTCACAAGACCTATGGGGAAGAATCTGAGAAATTGCCATACTGGGTCGCTCCAGCAGGGACAAATAAGCCCGATAAGGTCAGTGATCTAAAGAGCCTGACGGACTGGGAACTGCTACTTCTTGTGCATAAAAACGAGGAGATACCTTTCACGCTGCATACATCTTCAGAGGCTTTGATCAATCGTTTTGTATTTGACCCGTGGGATGGACGGTATCGGTACTTCACCATGGCCATTGACAACACGCTGCACCCTTCAGATCCGCCACCATCCTTCCTCCCGCGCCGCAAGTTCATGGAGAACGTCATGAGTTATACCCTGAGTGGTTCAAAAAATGCACGGGCAGGGTTCTTGTCAAGATGTAATTGGGAGCAGCCAGTTTTACAAGTCGAACTGGTCCGTCTACGGAGAAACCTCCTGGACAAGATGACAGACATGGAAAAGGACGTCGAAACTAGATGTTTTGTCTGCATAGAGCCACTAAGAATCTCCACTGTCAGTTGAGCGCCTTTTGTCGAATATGACCCAACAATTAGTTACTGACTCGTTGCTTAGATCCCTGAGGAAATTGCTGCTTCTTGCCTTGCCTTTCCGGCCATAATCAGCAGGGTGGATGCGTATTTGATTGCTCTCGAGGGCTGCAAATCCCTGAATTTATCAGTGAAGCCCGAATATGCGCTGGAGGCTTTTACGAAAGACTCCGATAACACAGAGGAGCATCGAGTGCAACAAATACATGTCCAAAGAGGGATGGGGAAAAACTACGAGCGTCTAGAATTTCTAGGGGACTGTTTTCTGAAAATGGCAACATCAATTTCTCTTTTCGTCCAGAACCCGGATGACGACGAGTTCGATTTCCATGTAAGCCGGATGTGCCTCATATGCAACAAGAATCTTTTCAACACCGCCCTAAAGAAGGAGCTTTACCAGTATATCCGCAGTCGAGGCTTTTCAAGGTATAAAAGCGTTTATACGTACCGAACCATAAGCTGACAAGAAGCCTTAGGCATACGTGGTACCCGGATGGCTTAACCCTGCTGCATGGTAGAGATCACAGGAAGAAGATTTCGGCGGAGAGCAAACAGGTGCTTAGAGAAAAGACAGTTGCGGACGTTTGCGAAGCCTTGATCGGAGCGTCATTGCTCTCAGGGGGGCTGCATAATCGATTTGACATGGCTGTCAAAGCAGTCACTGCTGTTGTTGACAATCCCAACCATACGGCCTTGTGCTGGGCGGATTATACTTCATCTTACTTGTTGCCGAAGTACCAAACCCAGAGCCCAGACGGATATGAGCTGGACCTTGGCCGTAAGGTCGACGAGAAACTGGGTTATCGTTTCAAATATCCTCGCCTTTTGCATTCAGCTTTTACTCATCCATCGTACCCGTCGGCGTGGGCCAAAGTACCATGCTATCAGAGACTCGAATTTCTAGGCGACTCTCTGTTGGATATGGTT